CCGCCATGAGAATGCAGTGAAGAGTGGAAGAGTCGCAAAGATCGGTCATAGCTAATGATTGAACAGGTGAAAGTCTCCAACGATTGTGTGAGTTATTATCTAACAGCGGGGCAATAAAGGGTATGAACGAATCCAAGAATGATATGAGATCTGATTGTGTACAAATTTGTTAAAATTAACATTCAAATGGGAACATCTTAGATGACGTTTCAGGGTTAGAATTTTAGTACCTTTCAAGCAGTACTGAAGGATAATGTGGGATATTAGGAAACGTTGATGTGTGATTATAGCAGTCTTCCTTCCTTCCTTCGGTTCATAGCTCGTATGGCTGAATGTGAAAACCGTTCGTTGGTAATAGGGTGTCGTTTTTCGGCCAGCATCCTCGCACAGAAAAAACGTTTTTATGAATTCTTGATCGGATACGAGTTGTTAGTGTTGATATTTTTGGAAACAGTAACCGAATGTTAGAGTGATGGGTACAGGATGAACACTGCTCTTCCCTAGAGGGGGTCCAAGGAAAAGCGACGAGTCAGCTTGCGGGCTTGCGTTTTCGGTTGAAGCTGAACAGTAAGAAATTGGAGTGGTACATGCCGATAAACCATCACACGATATCCTTGTTCATTTGAGACAAATTATATGATCCTAGGAGTAAAAGCGAGGCATTAGAATGATTGAGAATGTTAAAATTCCAAATGTTCATTTCATCGCATTTATTCCTCTGTAGAATTATGATAAAACCTCGAGTGCGTGCTCGCATCCACAGAGGTGCATCACAAATTGGTAGATATGCACGTGAGTCGTCACAATCATGTGACGCTATGGATACACTGGAAATCCGAGCAGGTACCGCTGACTATACTGTGGTTGATGAGGGTCACTCAAGTCGTACGCTACCTGAACTTATCATTTTCGTACAAGTTTAGACGAAACAATTGTTTGCGTGAAGCACAGCTGCATTCATATGGCTGATGCGAGTGGAAATTTCAGAAGCAGTTCGCTGATAGTTCCATTCAATGCAAACGCGTGGTTGTTTTTCCCCCGTTTGAGTCACGGTGATTTTGGTAAACAACTGCTGTCAGTTTTTTTCATTTCTCTAGTAAAGTGATTTCATTAGGTGTAACATGAAAAACATCACGTTTGTTCACCATGATTCGAGCCGGTTCATTCATTCGATGGCATCACGTTTTACACGAGATCATCAACAGTGCCTGGTGTCTGTGCAAAACCGAATGGGCTAATCGAAACATTCACCGTCTAAATATCCCTTGCTGTTAATTTGGAGTCACATATGCCCATGCATTTTTCCCTTACATACACTGCATACTTGTGAGTAGCATCATTATAACCCCCATCGTATTTACCGGACTTTTTCATGTGCTACCGTTGATTGGCAGACTCGAGAGCACAACAAAATACAGAATTGGGTATGCATCCGCGTGCGAGCAAGACGATTGGTGACCTGAGACTGGGACTGGAGTGGAATCCCGACGCAGTGAGTACACACCGCGACGGGATTCGTACTCACACATTAACTACACGAATGGATTCCATATAGTCACTCACCGTTCAACTCTTAACACCCTTCCCCGTTTTATTCCCTTTCAAATGGTAAAAAATCAATCAGAAGAATCTACTTCATTTCAGTATTGATCTCACGGCACAACAGGAAGCACGTTAGTTCTGTACATCATTGGGTCATCGAACTCCAATATCCGTCATTTTGTATTTGTACTATCACGTGTACCAATTCATGCGCACTTCATCGTTACAGTGCCCTCTTCGCTCATTAGATCAACAAGTTCCTCTTTATCCGCGTCCGAGCCACCTGTCATTCTCTGATGCAGCCTGATAGTGAAGAAAATGTGCAATTTGTGCTCTAAAAAACTATCCACTGAACAAAACGGAAACTTCTGTTTCTTAGAATTATCATGTCTGATGCAAGGATGTTCCTTCATGATATTTATAATATGAATAACTTTAATACAATCTCATTTTTTGAGGACGGAGCTTACCGAACTCGCATATATCCGCGTTATGTCACAAACACGCTCGTCACAAGTGGAGCCCGGATTGGATAACTGTAGAGCAAATCAGGCAGCGATGGTCCGATCAACTAACCTTCAATTTGCTCGTTATATACGCGTGTCGTGCCATGATCATAAAAGGACACTCTGGTTGTCGTGCTCTTGCTGTCTCTCTCGCTCTCCTGCGTTACTGGTTGGGGCCAGACAAGGGGGTATTCGTGTCGATCGTACATCCATAGACCGAACGTACCGCATTTATCATGCTATTGTTGTCCTCACGCCCAAATTTTGTGCTCCACAGTACAGAAGTGCAAACAGGTTCAACTGGAAGTTGCACTCTGCTGCAAACAGCTGGTTAAAATTTGAAAATCTACTGGCCATTGAAAATGTTCAGGTCTTCTACTGAAAGACATTCAACCATATGATCTCTGAG